TGAGAAAGTTGGCCAGAGGGGAGAAGCCTCAAGTGTTGATATCCTCAGAGGGACATTCCAGGCAAGGGAAATTCTAGCTGAAGGTTTTTTTTGTCCTTTCGACAAAGTTACAGCTTTAGTTCCTTTAAGAAGCCTTGGCTGGCAGGATGCCAGAGGCTAGAGTAAACCCTGCCCCTTCCTCACAGCCCCACACCCCGAGAGCAGCCATCATCTCTCAGCCCCCCCCCGGCTGTTTCCCAAGAGGCCCCCAATCCATTCATGACCTCAGACCACCTCACCTGCAGACCCTGGAGTTCCCCGGCTAATGTCAGATCCTCAGGTCAGGAGAAGGTAAAGAAACATTTGGGCACTTGACTTTCTCTTTCAAGGCAGGCCCCAGTGGTTTTTGTTCTCAGAGAGGACAAAGATGGGAGGAAAGATGGTCACTTCCCCTTCTCCCAGAGATAATCTAAGAGAAGTAAGAAAGTACCTGTGTTTGAAGGCAAAATGACAACAATTAATCTCTAAGCACAGGGCCCCACCATTAAATTCTTTGGAGAAACAACTTTAGGAGTTTAACGACAATCAAGAGAATGAAATTGAATTAAGAGAAATAGTAATTAAATCAGGAAAGAAATTTTTGCAAAGGGGATGGTAAAGGAAATTAAAACCAGTAATGCTGAAAAATGTGGTGGGCAGTGCTGAGAGAAGAGGGCTTGGTGGGGAAAGGAAAGAGCAGGCTAAGGAAAGGCAAGGCAAAGCAGGCAGGGAGACAGTGCTTAGCACTAGTGAAAGGAATCTGGAAACTTCGTGAGAGACCAGGTGTCTGGCACTTCCCATGTGATTCTAAACGTCTCAGTCCCTAATGGAGCTTGTTGCTTTTACTCCGCCCTCCTTAATGAACACTGCCCAGTAATCAAGCCCACCACTCATCCATCTAGTTCCAGAGTCTAAATTTCAGTCTCAAAGTAGGGCTCACCGTGCAGAAGTACAGGGGGGAAGAAGTGGGGACCCCTTCTGGCCTCTGCTCTTCTCACTTTGCCCCACAACCTTGGGCAAAACCCGTCACTCTGGGCCCCAGTCTCTGATACGCAGTGGAGAGGGCACAATGAACTAGCACCCTCTGCAAGGCAATTCCAGGATCCTGTTTTTTCTAGAACAAGTAGTCACACAGTGCGGATTTCCTGAAGGCAACGCCAGCTTTGTCATTCTGACACCACTGTCTACATGAGTGTGCTGGTTCTCAAACTGTGATCCCGCTCCTGATTTCACCAGCAGTTAATGGACCTTTGAGAGAGCTCTAGTCTGGCTTATCCAAAACCATGTGACTGTCGATACCTTGTTGCCCCAAGTGGGACTAGGGTTGTAGCATCCAAATGTCCATGTCTTTTCTGCTATAACCTCACCAGGCCATTTCATGGCACACAATGACCAGAAATTGTTTTGTTGTGTGAGTAACAGTATGCTTACTCTACAACCAGCTACAAGAGTTCTAATAGAAAAATCAAAGCTCAGGACTGAAATACAGAAATTCCTTCTGCAGAACTGAAACCCTCAAGCTTAAGCTTTGTAATAACCAAAATACACCAAGGATAGTGTAATACTTTCTTAGAATTGTTATTTTTAACAGCTCTATTGTGGAATCTCTTCTTATGACACCTCCTCACCTCATCCCACGTAGTTAACCATCTATTTAAGTGCTTCTGATGGGTACATCAGAGATCTGGAGCTAAACCCCAGCTCCTCCACCTACCAGCCCAATGGTTTAAACTTCAGTTTCCTCTTGTGTAAAATGGTGCAAATAGTAACTTCTCATTAGCCTGTTGATTAAATAAGAAGCCTACCTCTCTAATATTATTGAGAATAAGCACCTGCTATTAGCTAATTAACAAAGCATTCTTGGATGTTTAGTCCTGTGTAATGCTATTTGGTGGAAATTATACTCACACTCATTACACATTTAAAAAAGAGAGAGAGGGAGGCCCAGAGAAAGGTAGTGAGGCTCCCAGGCTCTTACAAACTGCAGGGCCAGCAGTCAGATCCAGCTCAGGGACACTCCCCAGCCGGAAGGTGGTGCAGGAAGTGCAGCACGAGCTGCCAGTGCCCCCAAGTTGTCCAGTTTAGTCCACTGGTATCGATGAGGGGTAGGGTGGGGACCCAGGCAGCTCTGCAGCTCCCAAGGGCAGCTTTGGGGCTGTGCACACAGGAGCTCTGAGTGTTATGCAGTTTTTTCTGTTGGATGAAGCCACTTCAGTAGACACTTCCATCTATTTTAACTCGATGCCAATATTTGCATAATTTCAGAATGTCTCTTTCATTCCTACCTATGAGGACACTGACACCTGGAAAAAAATAACAAACTGGAGTCTAGACTAGGACAGGTGTGGAGACAGAAGCTATGGTGTATTTAGCCTCTCCCAGAACAGATCTCTCCTGTTTTGCTGGAATGTGTTCAGGGCACTACTGGGCCCAGATAGCCCAGTTTTTCCATCTCTTCTGGACTGAGGGATTCTGAGGCGCTCTCCCTCATGTGGGTTTTCCCCAAGGATTTAAAGCTTAGTTCAAACTGAATGTGCAACTCACTCATCTTTCCCAGTTTTAAACACTTGGAGCTGCTCAGCGTTGCTTCCTGAACCCACCACTATAGTACTCAGCCAAGGAACCTGGAGGAGTCTTTGTGCCAAGGCCTTATTAAAACTCAGGTAAAGATCTATTGTGGTTTGTTATGCTTTCAGAATTACACTTTCTGAATCTTGGTGCCCTAGCGCAGGAATCCCTTTTTAAAAGATAATGTGACATCTACACACAATAGACTATTATTGAGCCTTAAAAAGGAGAAGTCGGGCCCTCCCTGGTGGCACAAAGCAAGGGGTCAAAGCACAGCACTACCAAAGCACAGCACTATGAAGCTGTCATCGCCACTGTAGCATGAGCTGGATTCCAGGCCAAGGAGCTGGCCCACATGGCGAGGCAGACCTCTCCCCACCTGCCCACTGCTCCCCTCAGCAATGTATTTCAGTCAATCAGCCTGTTGTTCCCCACTCTGTCTCCCTCCACCCCACACCTCTGCTTGTACCCCAGTACTTATATGCATAATCTTTAAAAAAATGTTTTAAAAAAAAAAGTGACATGCACCAACAGGGTTCAACCTTCAGGACATCGTGCTAAGTGGAGAACATTGTATGGAGTCAAAATTCCAGGTAACCCTACTCCTAGAAGTTAGACTCAGATTCATAGAAAAGTAGGTGTCATGACTAGGGAAGAGCAGGGTTCTTATTTAGTGGGTTTAAGTTTCAGTTTTGCAAGATGAAAAAAACTACTGGAGACAGGTGGTGGTGATGGTTGCCCAACATGAATTTACCTAATACCAATGACCTGAACTTTTTAAAGTGGTTAAGATGGTTGTTTTTTATGTGTAGTTTACAATTTTTTAAAATTGAAATAGAGAAAAGAACAGCTTAAACAAACACTCAGCCTCAGCTATGGCATTAGCATTGTCATCAGAGCCAAAAGCACTACACGTTTATATCCAACTTCCAACTTGCCGTCAGATGAAGCCTCCCCTTGTGCGGTCACTGTGAGGGGGTTCTTATAAGCCACTAACTCAGAAAATGCAGTGACTTTTAACAATCAATCAGCCCACTAGGGAAGACTGCTAGGCGGATGGGGCTAATGGGCAGTACTGTGCAGAGAAGGCACCCCATATAACCAAAGAGCTCCCCCAAGTGGCTTGAGCACCTCCCCCAGAAAAAAAACAGGTCCCTCAGGACAAAGAAAATTCCTTTTCTAATTAAAAGCACAATTTTTACCTGTTATTGGCCATCATCCACATGAATATGGGGGGGAGTGGAACAAGGGCGTGGAGGAGATAACCCCATTATAGGTACTACTACAATCATCTTTAATTACTTCCAAATGAAACCTGAGATGCCCATTCCCTGCCCCCACCCCCAGTTTCATAATGAAATACTATTTTGTGAAATCAGAAACCCCAAAGGGTCCAAGGAAACCAGTCCTTCAACATTTTCCCCCAATAATCTGCCATTAGTTAGGACTTGTGAGATATATATACTTTCGTTGTTCAATTTGGCACTTTGGGCCTCACATTACTTTTCAGACAGGATTTAAGAAAAAGATTTATGAAACTGCTTAACTGTTCTAGCAATTTTTTTAAATAAATTTAATTTTAAGGGAGTGATGCTTTTAAACTGTTTGACTAATGTATTTCATCATTTTGTGACTGCTGGACAACTAGAACAGTTCACGGGGTTGCTTCCTCTCTAGAATCCCTCTCCCATGGACCTTTCACTTATTGTTAGTATTTCCTAGGGTTTATGAGACACTGAATGCTTATACTCAGAAAGGCAACATAAGCTAACGGAAAGTTTAAAAATGTTATTTTGGTTTGGAATTGTACCAATTCAGTTTGGAAAGGCTGGCATCTTACTCTGGTCTAGAAAGTTCTTTAATTTTCAAAATGAAAACAAAATTTCATTTGATAAATTAAATTTACCAAATGAATTATTTTAAAACTTAATCTCAAAATTTCAAAACATTTTTTCAAAATTATATTCAGGTTTAGGGACAAATGATAAATGGAAACCTAATCTACAATCAAAGAATTGAGAATTGGGAAAAGAGACAAAAATATTATCTTTGATTTTAGAGACAAAGAACAGAACGGAGAAGGGTTTTATCCAAGATTTCTGGTTTGATTTCTATGACTACTCCCCTGGGTACAAGCTGCCTTTGAACACAGAGCTGCCTGATGGAGTCATAAGCGCACTCCTTGAAAACCACAGAACACCCAAAATGACAATCACCAGGACAGAAATACCTAGAAGAAAGCAAGCCAAAGCCAATTACAGTAGCTCGAATTTGAATGGTTACATGAACATATAAGGAACTGTCAATCCAACAATAAAAACAATCTCCACAAGACATACTTTGTACATATTTTTTTTATAAATCTAAAGGCAAAGGGACTAAGGGCCTAAAGTCAGACATCAGCAATCATGTTGGTATAAATGAATTTAAATTTATTAGCCATAGAAAAAAACTGATTCTTCAAAATCAATTCTTGTTAAGTTCCCTGTAAAACAATAAGCTTACAGAAAATTTCTCATGAACAGAAAATCGCTATGCTTTTGGTCCAAGATATGTTGGTTTTTTTTCTTTCTTCTTCAGATGACAGACAGATGGATGTAGCTGAATCTATGAACGAGTGTACTTGCCCCAAATGTGCAACATAAATACAGAAGCGATGAACAGAAGACTCATAACCAATACTGGAACAGGGCCACTAGAAATAAGAAGAGAAGGCATGCTTATGTTTAGCAATAATAATTCAGCAATTACAAATTTATATGTGTAATAAAAGACTGGCTGGGGAAAAAGACTGGGTGGGGATAAGGGAAAACACCTATGAATCATCTAAAAGTATTATTTAGATCATTTAACAATACTCCAAAAATTAGGATTGCAGATATTGAGGGTATGATGGCACCGAGGTCTATAAATCAAGGTAGAGACAACCTGCATTGTAAGTACAATGTACTCAGCACACAAAGACAGGATCACATTCTAAGATATAAAGTTTCAAATATTTAATTAACAATTCATGATGTTGATGAAACAAATATTAGTGTGTTTAATCACATATTAATTTGAGGCTGAAGGGATTACTACTTGCCCAAGGACACACAGTATAGAATGGAGAGATTTCTGATTCCACATGTTTTAGGGCTTTAACATTCCCAGCAGCAAACTTTCTTTCTATGTAACATATTAGTCAGGATGATGTATAGCTATAAGTTTATTGTAGAAAGGAAATGGATTTTACTCAATTTCAAGTTAATGATTAGAGCTGGATCTCACCAAGGGAGAAAACCTGACCACACTCCCTACTTTGAAGCAGTATCAACCACTCCAGCCACCGAGTGCCATGTGGGCGAGCAGCTCTCAGGTCAGAGCACAGGGGAGCTTGGAAAGCAACTGTCACTCACCGGCTCTGACATCAGCCCCCTACTCACCGAGTACAGGGCATACACAAGGAACACAGGCTTAAATGAGCTCTCAAGAAATGCTATTATTAACCTGAAAAAAATTCTAAACTAGGCCCTCCCTGGTGGTGCAGCGGATTAAAGCGAGCCGCATCCAACTTAGTGCGAGTCCGATCCCTGCCCTGGAGGTGACCACATGGCACAGCAGACCTCTCCTGTCTCGCCCACTACCCCCCTCAGCAATGTATTTTGTGGAACTGCCTGTTCTGCTCCCCACTCTGTCTCTGGTGAATCCTCTCACCACCCCTGCACCTCCGGCCTGTACCCCAGTTCTGTATGCATAAATAATTTTTTTTTTTTTAAATTCTAAACTCCCAAGGAATAGCCACAAGCTACCTGATGTGGAGATGTGGATAAGAATTCCCAACCCTGTGCTTTCATCAAAACACCTCTTTGGAGACACAAAAACACTGATTGAAAAAGGTATCTGCACTCCCATGTTTATTGCTGCTTTATTTACAATTAGAAAAACATGGAAGCAGCCCAAATGCCCAAAAGTAGATGGCTGAATTAAAAAGATGTGGTACAAATATACAAGGGAATATTACTCAGCAACCAAAAAAGAGAAACACATGTCTTTTGCAGCAACTTGGATGGAGCTGGAAAAGATCATGCTTAGTGAGATAAGCCAGAAAGAGAAAGAAAAATACCGGATGGTTTCACTCATAGCAGGAGTATAATGGACTCGACGACAAAATAACAAAAATAATGAACAACCATATACCAGAGACATTTTGCGGGGGTGGAGTGGGGAATGGGATCAAAAAACGGGATGGGGGGAGGGAAGTGCACGAGATTATGGTGATGGCACACGGGTGACTTGGTGATGGGAAACCCGCGGGGATTACAATTGAGATGGAAAAAAAAATGTACAAAATGATGTAAAAATAAACTGTTTATATATATATATATATATATATATAAACATCTCTTTGGTGTTATGAGACTGTCTATGACTTCACGGGAGAGGTCCTATGGAATCCTGGGAGGACTCAAGCAGCGGCAGCAAGCAAGCCTGGCTGCGTTACAGGAGAAAAGCCCAGCTCCAGTACAAGTCACACTCACCCACTAACCAGGTTCCAGCACCTTCTTGAGGAAGATTTTAAATGAATTCCTTAGATAGTCTAAAGAACAAGGGGCTTCAAAATGTTTCTCTGAAAAATACTCAGAAAAATTTTCTCTAACAAAGGCCAAAAGGTTGTCAGAATATTGCCAACTCACATATCCTCAACCCAAAAAGTACTTCCTAAGTGCATTCTCAGCTTATCATAAATGGCTCCACTGTAAAAACAACAACACATCAAAACTTATAATTTCAGGGAAATCTTCATAAACTATCCTTTAATTGAAGTTCCTAGTCAAGTTAATAAATTCAAGTAAGTCTAATTTTCTCTCTTTTCTACCAGGTAGACAGCATGTAAAGAACAGGGTCAGAATCTATGATTCCTGCTCTTGCTGTGTGACTTTCAACATGTAACTTTCCGTCTCTGAGCCTGAGTGACATGCAAATAAGAGTTGCTGTCTTATTCCAATTTCGCCTCAACTGGATTTAGGCGGTTCCCAGGGGTGTCCACCATAGAGTCTACTTGATCCCAACCAGTGGGCTGGGGTCTGCCACACAGCGCTGGAAACGCCAGAATGTGAGGCAAGCAAGACAATGTGCAGGGGTCCGTCGATGCTCTGTTCAGCATCACCTAATGAGCAACCCTAAGCCTGAGAACTTGGAAAGTGATTTATGCTCACCCTTCAGATCTGCTCATCATGCACCAAAGCAAGGAGGCCCACTTTTGGTAACACGCTGAAATGGAGGCACTTTCATTAGGCTGTAATAATAATCAGCTATGCCTCCAGGAGAGCTTTGAAAAATTACCCAGTTCCTATTCAAATGGTTACTCTTATTTCTAAGTGTGGGACAAGAACACCAAATGAAGAACAATTTCATTTAATTAAACAGTTTCCCCTCCAGTTCTCTCTGTTCCCATCATTCATTCTGACACAGCCACAGAAGATCTTCTCTTGCTTTCACTAAATCCACGAAGAGACGTCATTCCAGGCCAGAAGCGAACTGGCTGATGTACAGGCAAACCAACCGCAGCCCACCTGGCACAAATGAAGCTGTTGTACCGCTCACTAAAGAAGCACCACTGGTGACAGAGGCCTGCCAAGTGGCTCTGTGACACTGAACAGAACACAAGGTCTGCCGCTCCCAGCACTTACACTTTGAGCCCAGGTGAGTCTTCCGTGTAGAACCGCCACATCCCCCCAGTGCCCGCTGAGGTCGTGCGGCCTGCGCTCCTTGTTCCGCAGCTGGCATTCTTCCTGTGAGATGTTGCAAACAGAATCGTCTTGGAATCCTTATAATGGCATCAAAGCATGGACCCCCAGTACACTGTTAATGAGGCAGTAAAAAGAACAAAACTTTCGGCCCTCCCTGGTGGTGCAGCGGGTTAAAGCACAGCACTAAGAAGTTTAAGCCACTTCTGCATGAGTTCGATCCCCGCCTTCCCTGGAGGAGATCCACATGGCGCGGCAGACCTCTCCCGACCCACCCACTGCTCCCCTCAGCAGTGTACTTCGTTGATCTGCCTGTTCTGCTCCCCACTCTGTCTCTGGTGAATCCTCTCACCCTCTGCATCTCTGGTCTGTACCCCAGTTCTGTATGAATAAATAAATAAATCTTAAAAAAAAAAAGGAACAAAATTTTCTGTGCTAGCTGCCTCCAAATTCTGGCTTTTATTTTGCTGATCACAATTGCTGTGAATGGAGTTCCTGCCACGGGCTACTGCACGATGACCCTGGGAAGCAGTTAACCATTTCCAGTTCACAAGTGAAGAAAACAAAGCCCAGGGAAGCACAACGCCTAAGACCAGCCGCCAGCAGGCGAGTCAGCAGGGAGGGTATCGGGCCCTGACTCCAGAGTCCACCTAGCTGCTCACACATGTGCCTGGTTTGGACGATGTGTGTCCGTTTCTCTTCACAGTCCTTCCGGTAGTAAACCCCTGCTTTAAAATGCCCTGGATCCATATGATTTTAAAATGACAATTTTAAAGTATTTTAAATCTACTCTATTTGCCAAAAAAAGACAAAAGAAAAAAAAAATTGAATTCCAGGTCCAAAATGGATTACACAGTTTCCACTGTTTTGATATACTGACACAGACCCTGGACAGAGGGGTAGAATGTGAACAGGTGCAGAAAACACCCCCAACAAGCACTAGTCTGTCACGAGGCTTCTGAGATGAGGTGAGATGCAGGTACTTGTCACAGAGAACTGTGCTGAGGCCATTTAGGCCACTGCCCAGAGCCAGGGCCACTATCCCTTTCTGGAGAATCCCTTCAACTGCCCCTGCCCAGCAACAGTTCTGCACTGCCGGCTTCTCATCACGCCCCAGTGCCACCGTGGTGCATCGCAGTAATAAGAAGTGTGAGAGGAAGCCGGAAGGAATCAGCTTTGCTTCATTTCTCCCCAATTTGGAAATCCTAGGTAGGGGGAGGGTATTACCCACACCAGTATTACCCACACCACTGAGCAAATCCCAGTACATACTCCCTTAGTATCTCACCCAGTACCTGTGAGATGTTGAGTCTGGATTTTTGAAAAAAAAGACATAGAGGGAGAAACCAGAAGTAAAAACTCAATTCCTACCACTTCTTCTTGCTGCCCTCCCAATTCTGACCTTCATCCTCTCAGGCCTCTGTCACAGCTCCACCCCACACTCTGACTGCGAGAGGAGCCCAAGGAACTTCCGCCCTGCTGAATAAAAAGCAGGAGTATAGCGAGTGTCCTGAGTCTGGTTTAGGTTCCAGCAGAAAAGCTGTGTTCATACCAGAACTTTCAGTGTCAAATAAAACAGTCAGTGTGAAACAATGACTATGGTACTACAGAGATGTTATTTCAGACACTATTCTACAGGCTACATGCCCTGGGAATTCACCTGTATGACTGTTGTAAGTAGCATGTACAGGGATTGAGAGCAATTCCTACACTGCGCAAGCTCTCACACACACATGCACTTCATGTAATCTGTGAGTCAGACACCTGAAAGCCTCCTCCTCGCTAATAAAAGACACTTGTGCTACAAGGTAATCCAAGTGGACCCAGGAAGACGTTGGCTGACCCGGGACTGGGGCCCATGCACTTTTCACTAATCTCACAACCTCCCAACTCCAGGTCCTGTTTTCAAAGTCTCCTGGAACTATAGCAACCCTAAAGGAATTAGTTGTACCTGGCAACAGGACATGGAAGAGGACTTGAAAATCAAGTCAAGGCCCTTAAAATAACCAAAATATACTCAAAATATCTCCCATCTCCCCACTGGGAAGCTAGTTAGAGGTAGCACATTTTAATCTCCTAAATTTCAGTTTGGTTCTTTCTGACCACTGTACAACTGCGTCTCTCCCTGCAGCTCAACAGGCTGCCTTCCATAACAACTCTTTTCCGTATTTGCTCTGAGGCCTTCTTGCTGTTCCTCAAAGACAAGCTCATTCCCACTTTGGAGTCTTTACGTGGTCATTCTGTCACCTAGGAAGTCTACTCCTCCTCAAACCACTGAAGGTTTGCTCCCTGTTTGTTACCATGTTACCTACTGTGCTCCCCCTACCCCCCCATCCTCCACCCCATCCTGCTTTATTTTGCTTCAGAGCCTTTACTGCCTGAAACTGGAGTGGGTATTAGCCTTACTTATGTTTCCCACTCTTGGAATGTAAGATTCATGAGGCCAGACCCAGCTGATCTTGTTCCCAACGATATCCTTAGACCTGAACATGCCTGGCATGTCCCCTCAGTAACTACTTTAACATCACCAGCTATTCCACATCTTCACTATCCCTGGTCCCCAAGCATTACTCCTGCCTGGCCACCGTATAACACTTCACAGTCTACAGAGCTTTACTGCTCCTTTTCGTTCTCACAGCAATTTCCTTTTATTCTGAATTAGGACAGCAAGAACTCCAACTGCAGCCTGACCTTCAATTCCATATTTCTTCTCCAAGGAACATCTCTATTATTTCACTGACTGAAGAAAGAAGGCACATTGCAGGCTACCAAATCCAAAGCATTATTAACTATTAGTTCCAACTTTCTTCTTCCAGACTTGTTACAAAACAACGACACATATGTTCTTAGACCTATTACATCACTACTAAAATTCTAGAAGGGAAATATGTAGGGTATCCCAATACATGTAACTATGGTCTACCCAGGTACAATGGCCCCACTAATGGTGAACTCAGTGACATCAACACCCACCAGCTGTAAAGCTACACCTGTCTGCAAATATTTGTTTCTCCATTTCACTTCTGCAGAAGATTTCAATTTTATCAAATAAATTAGTTATCTCATTATCATATTTACATTTGATAAGTACATATCTTTCCTCCCCCTGCTTAAAAGTTCTTAGATGGTGAGCTCTCCCTGGTGGCACAACAGGTTAAAGCACAGCACAATGAAGCTATCCAAAGCCATTGCATGAGTCTGATCCCCGGCCAGGGAGCTGACTCACATGGCCCAGCAGACCTCTCCTATCCTGCCCGCTGCTCCCCTCGGCAGGGTATTTCAGTCAATCAGCCTGTTGTGTTCCCCACTCTGTCTCTGGTGAATCCTCTCACCACTCACACCTCTAGCCTGTACCCCAGTCCTTGTTTGCAAAGATAAGTAAATCTTTTTTTAAAAAAGTTCTTAGATGGCCAGACTCCCCTGCCACAGTGCTCATTAACCAGGCTTATTCCCCAAGGAACTCTGCCTACAAAAAACAATTTTCAATTCCAGCAGTCTCTCTAAAATACTGGGTGGGAAGCAAACAGAACAAGTCCAAATAACCTAAATTACAGCTTGACATACTTTTCAACTGGTACACTGCCAGCCTGAACATCTCTTTACAGGAAACTCATGATTTCTCAAGAAAATTAGCATTTCTGACAGTTTTATTAGAATCTTTGTGTTCTGAGTTGAAATTTGTCTCACATTAAGTTCAAACATATTGACCTTAGACTTCCTACTATAGCCAACATGTAAAATGTCATACTTCTTTGCATTCTTAGGACAGCTATGTATCCCTGAAAAGTCTTCTAAAGAAAACCCCCGCTAGCTTCTTCATAAATCCCAAAACAATAATTAGTTGATTCCTTCATTCAGCATCATTTACTGTGTCAGACCTATGGTAGGACAGAAATGACTTGGACAGTTTCTGCTAAAGTCTAGTAAGAAGATAAATATGGAAACATAAATAGGAGGAAAATTCTTGGGGGCGGGGGGAGTGTCAAAGTCACTGCTGCTTTTGGAGTCAGAGCCCCTAAACTAGACTTAGTCTAGGAGAATAAATAGAAATATATGTTTGGGGGAAGAGGATGTCCCTAGTATGTTTAGAAACCAGTAATGGGTATCAAAAGGAGAGAGGGTACACAGAAAAGCACACTAAGATCTTGTGTGTGTGTGTGTGTGTGTATGTGTGTGTTTAACTGAGCAGCAAGAAATCAACAAAGAAACTAAGCAGAAATGTGATAGAATCAGAACAAAGGATGGAATGGAGTGGAAATAACCTGGAGAGAAGCAGCATTAGGTAGAAAATGCCAAAAAATGAAAGAAGTTGAGGACCAAAGTGTAGCAGAAAGACACAGAAAAGAGCTGATGAAAAGATTTTCACATATAATTTAAAGGTTGAGGAATAACTGGATAGAAGACTTGGGTACAAAAATCCAAAATGAGGAGCCTCCCTGATGGCGCAAGAGGTTAAAGCGCAGCACTGCTAACTTGGCCACAGCCACTGCACCACGAGTTCGATCCCGCCCCAAGGTGGCCCACAGGCCCAGCAGACCTCTCCTTTCCCTCCCGCTGCTCCCCTCAGCAGTGTACTTCATCAATCTGCCTGTTCTGCTCCCCACTCTGTCTCTAGTGAATCCTCTCGCACCTCTGGCCTGTACCCCAGTTCTGGTATGCATTAATTTTTTTAATCTAAAAAAAAAAAAGAAGAAAGAAAATTCAAAACAACACTGAAGATGTGGTTTTTGGTGGACTGTATACGGAGGGGGGGGGGGGGCTGGGATGAAAAGACACCAGCTTTTGTGTAGGCCAAGTTACTTTAGCCTGAGTGTATGGAACCCTCACCTCTCCGCGTGAGAAACATGAGTGCAGAAGGCTCCTTACAGAGACACCAGGTAAGTAAGCTTTCTCAAGTTTAACTTTCCTTCCTTGCTTGCCGGGCTTATCTCTCAGACTCACAAGACCAAAAACCCTTTAACTCCTCGAGGGACGTGACTTAAGAATTACTTTGCCCTCGTGTATCTTAATAACCCGGCGTCTCCTCCTCTGAACCAGAGAACTCCCGGCCCTCCGGAGATGGCAGGGATCCTTACCTCTGCCGGACCGTGGATCCCGCGGCCCGGGCGGCCACTGCTTTGCTGGGAGAGCGCCCCGAAGAGCCAACGTTAGTGCCACTGGGGGTTGGACCAGGCTGCAGAGAGACACAAGCAGAAAGACAGGTGAGCGTCACCGGTCAGCTCCGGTGGGACCCCAGGCCCTCTTGGCCCAGATCAACTCCCACTCGAAAGAGTGGGGAAAGCACGGAAGTCACGAAAGGAGGGCAAAACGTACGTCGGAAATCGGGGCGTCTGGCAGAGGCGAAGCACAAAGAGAAAAAGCTGGGGTTGCCTTACCATGCTAAAATCTGTGGGACGGCAGCAAGCAGAGACCACCGGAAACTGATGCAGCCTTCACTGTTTCCGCGGCTGGAGAAACTATTCAGGTCCCGCCCCGGACCCGCTGGCAGGGTCCTCGTCGGCTCCAGGGACGCCTGGGCTGTCCTAAAAGATGCCTGTACATATTTTGCTACAAAGAACTAGATAGATTACTATATGGAAACCAATGACCTTCCTTTTCCTTACGTTAGATCATGAAGTGCTTTCATGAGCCCAACTCCTACCAGAAAGAAGATATGGCTATGGTGAGACGAAACATTTTTGTCAGGCACATACTAGGCACCTACAGAGTTGTGCTGATCTGGCCTAACCCACGCACACGTCGTGGGGGCGTGGTCGGCCGCTCAGGGCCACTCGCAGTGAGGGCGCATGCGCGGAAGCTCGGAAGGCGTCGGGGCGCAGGCGCGGCTTTTGAGCCATGGCGGAGAAGCAGGGCCAGGACGCGGACGGGGTTGTCAACCCATCGGTGCTGTTTCTGCACCCGGACTTGGGCGTGGGCGGCGCCGAGCGCCTGGTGCTGGACGCGGCGCTGGCGCTGCGGGCTCGCGGGTGTCGCGTGACCATCTGGACTGCGCACTACGACCCGGGCCACTGCTTCGCGGAGAGCCGCGAGCTGCCGGTGCGCTGTGCCGGGGACTGGCTGCCGCGCAGCCTGGGCTGGGGCGGCCGCGGCGCGGCGGTGTGCGCCTACGTGCGCATGATCTTCCTGGCCCTCTATGTGCTGTTCCTCGGCGACGAGGAATTCGACGTGGTCGTGTGTGACCAGGTGAGGCGGCCGCGAGTACGGCCACGCGCTGGACCCTCGCTTCGCCTCCTTTCCCACTGCTGGATACGCTCACTGCATGACCTCAGATGATCTTTCCGGGTCTGCAGTGCAGAAAGATTAGGACTGATCTGAAGAGATCAGAACTGGGAGTGAGAAAGTCATGAACTTTAGTGTGGAGACGCTGAAGTTGCAGATTACAGGGCCCCACCTCCGTAAGTTTTCAGGCGGGAGATAGGGGTTTGTAACCAGGAATTACAAACTTCTGGGGTTTTTTTTAATCATTGTTATTATGATTACTATTGAATTTTTTATCATATTTACCTAGAAGCTGTCTTTTCTAATGGTGGGCATTCACCAAACGTCTTCTAGGTGTAGTTGATCAACATAAAGTCAGAGTGTAGTGGACAGAGAGAAAAAACTGAGCTTATAAGTAGGAGACCTGGATTCAAGGATTCATCGTCAATATCTACTATTTTTTAACTAAGTGGTTCTGGATAAACCCTTCATTAGCCCTAAAGCTAATGTGTTAATTAAGTGAGCTGGGTATTAGGTGCCTTCTGAAAAGTCTTTAGTAATGCCAGGGCATAGTTCCTCCTTAACAATGGTTGTGGTTGACATTTATTGAACATACACTACACTGAATTCTTATGCATTTTATATATGCTAGTGCATTTAGTAATCACAGAGCCATATTGGCGGGGAAGAGGGATTGCGTCAAAATCGTCACCATGTTACAGAAGAGGGCGCTGAGGCCCAGGAGAATTAGCTGATTAGATCATGGTCACACAGCTAGTAGAACTGAGATCAATTCCCTAGCTATCTTGATTTCAGAGCTTGTGCTCTAAATTACTGCAGTTCATTCATTCCAATTTTTTTAGGAGGAAACTAGATAATAGAGCTGCTCTGTCCAGTATGTGAGCTACTAGCCACACGTGGTTATTGAGCACTTGAAATGTAGTTTCTCTGCACTGAAATATTCTGTGTGTGAAAATACACTTAATTTTGAAAGTTTAACGTGAAAGAAAAAAGTGCAGAGTATTTTATTACCATTTTTTTGTTGACTACATTTTGAAATGATGACATTTCATTTGGATAAATAAAATGTTAAAATTGATTTCACCCTTAAAATTTGAGTGTGCTTACTATTATAGATTTGTATTTCCCCTGGCTAGACCTGTTTTAAAAGAAACCACTGGACTTGCAGCTTTATATATTAGCACATGTTCAGCGAATGTCTATAAAACAGGCATTAAGCTGGGGGGGGAAGGGGGGCACATAGAGAGAACCAGACACTGCCCAGAGACTAGCAGACTGACTGGGTGTGTGCTTCTGCTTTGGTTGAAGTTGACCAGTCACTGTATCCGCTGTTGATTTTTGCTTTGGCTAGGTGTCTGCCTGTATCCCAGTGTTCAAGCTGGCCAGACGGCGCAAGAAGATCCTGTTTTATTGCCACTTCCCAGATCTGCTTCTCACTAAGAGAGAGTCTTTTCTTAAGCGTCTATATAGGGCCCCGATTGACTGGGTCGAGGAATACACCACAGGCATGGCAGACTGCATCTTGGTCAACAGCCAGTTCACAGCTGCCATTTTTAAGGAAACATTCAAGTCCCTATCTCACATAGACCCCGATGTCCTCTACCCATCTCTGAATGTCACCAGCTTTGACTCTGCTGTTCCTGAGAAGCTTGATGACCTCGTCCCCAAAGGGAAAAAATTCCTATTCCTCTCCATTAACAGATATGAACGGAAGAAAAATCTGGCTTTGGCGCTGGACGCCCTAGTAAGCCTGCGTGGAAGGCTGACAGCCCAAGACTGGGACAAGGTTCATCTGATCATGGCCGGTGGCTATGACGAGAGAGTCCTGGAGAATGTGGAACACTATCAGGAATTGAAGGATATGGTCCAGCAGTCTGACCTGGGCCAGTATGTGACCTTCCTGCGGTCCTTCTCTGACAAACAGAAAATCTCACTCCTCCACGGCTGCACGTGTGTGCTTTACACACCGAGCAATGAGCACTTTGGCATCGTCCCTTTGGAGGCCATGTACATGAAGTGCCCGGTTGTTGCTGTTAATTCGGGCGGACCCTTGGAGTCCATCGTCCACAGAGTAACCGGGTTTCTGTGCGAGCCTGACCCAATGCACTTCTCAGAAGCAATAGAAAAGTTCATTCATGAACCTTCATTAAGGACCACAATGGGACTGGCTGGAAGGGCCAGAGTGAAGGAAAAGTTTTCCTCTGAAGCATTTACAGAACAGCTCTACCAGTACGTCACCAAATTACTAGTATAATCAGATATTTTTAAGGTGTTTATGCAACATTCATTTCATTTTTATGAATTGTAGGCCCAGTTTTAAACCATTAATTAACGTGAATCTAATGCCAAAGAGATTTAAAAATAAACAGACTCTTGAATCTGAGCCACCTTCCTATCCACATTTGCTTTGTCAGAAAAACTATCTTATGCTGGAATTATTCCAAGTCTTACCAGTGCTGGTTAAGAAATAAGTAGGGTGCAATTCCATATCTGGAATATTTTAATTATATTTCTTCTAGGTTTCGTTGCTTTGCCTATAAACTTGACGCCATACTGCATCCTAATTGATGTTTGGTACTTTAAGTGCGTCACCATGAAAGTTGATGGATTGGGCCACTGTGATTCCAGAATCTGCACCTCAGTAACTACTGCTGGCAGAACTGGTGTTAGTCACATCTTCACGTGGGTCCATAGCAAGAGTTGTGTGGTTTGGTTTGGTTTTTAAACAAAGATGATTTTATATTTTTGCACAGTGAAATATGACAATAAAAGATGTTTATCATAGGAAGGGTCAATAAACTACTGGATGTTGACCTCCACAATCTGTTTTGCCTCTTAGATAATGACAGCCAAGCCCAAAGTCAGAAAACTAGACTAAATTGGATGTTGACATGAAGAGGGAATATTGTCCAATGGTGTGCATCTTGTTAATGTCATCTAGGTCATCACTTTGGTGATGTTTGTGCTGTATTAAATCAGATCCTGCTAAGTGTGAAACAGCCCTCAAATGCCATGACTAAAGCTCTTTAACCTTCCAGATGGAAGTGATCTGCCCCTCCCTGCACTCCAGCCCTCCCGCTGCACTGACCCAGCTCAGTGTCATGTTTACCTGTTGTTCTAAGCACAGATAACCAGGAAGTACTTTCAACCTACCTTCAAAGCTAAATTCATTTTTTAGAAATAGCCAAAGTTTCTACATTAATCAGCTCTAAGGGTACAGACCTGACCGCCTATGTGACATTGGGCAAATTATCTCATACCTCAGTTTCTTCATCCATACAGTGGAATAACTGCTATTCTACCTCCCTCACAGAGTGATTGTGGTGATCACCATAACACAAAGTCTCTCAGACAGTATTTGGCATGTACGTGGGCTGTATAAAAGTTAGCTACTTTGTGTTTGGGGAATATTGAGAATGACTGGAAGGTCATGCTACACTTTATCACTCTTTTGAGGTGCTTTAGAGGCCACTACCACAGGTTGTGATAAGCAATCTTTATTAAGAGTATTTTAATGGAATGACTACCAAAAAGTTCTTTAAAGTGAGATTGTCAACTATGTTGAATCTTTTGCGGACTGAAAAGTCAAGTTCCATTTGCTTTAGCATCGTGACAGTGTACTAGTCAGCAAAAATCATCCCCATTGTGTAGCTTGGTGCATGTGTTTCTCAGGGAACCGCGTCTTTCCAGAAAGGCCTGGTGACCGATCACTGGGGGTAGGACTGACAGGCTCGGTCGTGCTTACCTATTCTGAGCACTAAAAGTTGTGTCTACTTGACTGTTTTTATATGCAGGTCCAAAAAGAGATGGGTTCTTATGCCTTAAATTTATCTTCAGCCCTAACAGATGACAGTAAGACTGTAGGTCTGGGAGGAATGTGCAACCTGGCTGCTATGAGCTTCCAGCTTCTGTAGTGCTGACTCTGGCTCCTCAGTTCAGGGTGGTGCTTTGCCTATAGGTTTTGACAAGCTCCCGAGACTGTGCTGACATTAGGGAGAACAGCAGCATGCCCAGCCTGTGCTGTTTGTTATCCCTGCGAAGTGGCCCACAGTCAAGGGAGCGTGGAGCCAAGGTAGTCTTATTAAAACTCTGGTAAAGGTCTGGTTTTGTCTGGCTTTGGGAATAGCTATAAATGGCTTGTAATGTCCTGGAACAGGAAATAACAGTCCATGAATCCCCTGGATAGAACTTTCCTGTAGGAGGCGTTCAGTTTCCAAAACTAAGGGAAGTTGAAGAAAATAGAAGCATGAAACTGAAGTGAATTGTCCAGTACCTCATTAATAATCATTCCTCTAACACTGCCAGCAGGAGGCATAGCAGGCAACCCACCTAACACTAAGCCTGCTGTGAGGTACATAGGTATTCCTCACCTTACAGCTGAGGGTGGTTAAGCAGCTTGCCCATGCTACACAGCCCAGAGAGATGTGAAGGGTCTCAAGGCTCTGACTTCCAAGTCCACCCACTCTCCCGTCCCCGTTAGTCCCCATACACCAGCACTGCACAGCCTGCTCAGCGACACTCGCTCCACAGCACCAAAGCCGCCTTGCACAGGTCTTCAAGCTTAGGAAGGCTTTGCCTGCATCCCTTTCCAGCCTCAGAAGCCTCTCTCAAGGTGGCTATGGTTATCCCCTCCCTTATACCAAAGAGGAAGCTCTGCAAAGTAAAAGGCACCCAAGGCATGCGACCGAAAAGAGCTTAACCCGAGGTTACCTGATCCTTCCAGAGCTCTGCATTTAGAATCATTCAGCCTGCTCCCCTTTGATAAATATAAATATAGGGTGTCCTCCAATACCCTATAAATATAGGGTGTCCTCCAATTCAAAATAAATACAGCATTCTGAGTCACAACAAAGTATGAATGGGGTGCTATTCTGTCTGACCCTACAAAGAGAAACTGGTGGGCTGCTTCCCGCCCTGTCCCCAACCCTGTGATTCGCTGAGCCAAGGCCACACTACCCATTCTACCCATCTCACTGCAGTGGACTTTGGGGCGGCCTTGTGGAGCTCTCAGGGTCACTTAGGTTGCATAAGTAGAGATTCCAGCTCATTTAACTTAGAAGGTATTAAGAGTTGGGTGTTTGCAAAAGCATGAATTTTAAAGGAAACCTGCACTCCTAAGTTTTCTGCAGCACTGTTTACAACAGCCAAGATATGGAAACAACCCAGATGCCCCAAAAGAGATGAGTGGATCAAAGACTGGTGTATATACATGCAATGGAATATTATTCAGTGGTCAAAAAGGTGAACACGTGCCATTTGCAGCAACATGGAAGGAACCAGGAGGGATTATTCTAAGTGAGCCAGCAGGAGAAAAATACTTATGTGTGGAATCTGGAGAAACCAAACAAAGGGACAGGTTAAAAGATAAAACTTTCAAGGTGGCCACAGATCTGAGACACCCAGCGAGGGGGGTAAGAGATCAAAACAGGAGGGAAAAGCACAAGGGACTGTGGTGCTGCATCATGGGGTGCCGGGTGCCATGCAGTGGAGGTGGGAGAAATTAAAGAATATTCAAGAACTAACAAGGAAAAAGGGACAGAGGGAGGGAGAAAGAAAGGAGAGAATTGGGTGTTTGGAAATCCAAGCTACAAAACACAATCACACCCCAGCAGGGATGGGTGAACTCAATGAAAGCCTCTCTCACACACAGGCTTTCACACTCATTGTTACTCTATCGGCTCCCCCATCTGCACACAGGTGCGACTACTAAGCCTCCACTACCTTCCAGTCCCCATGGAGATCTCTACCAGTCAGAGTAAAGTCCACACCAGGCTCAGATGTCAGGAGGATGGTTTACCTTTAACCCCGTGATATCCAAGCTATTCGACCACAACAATCTTACGAAAAAGTAAATGGCCAATAATAGAATAACAGCATTTGTTGAGCACTTGCTGTGAGCCAGGCTGTGTTCTAGGACTTCCATGTTTATCAGCAAACTGGATCTTCACAACAGCTCAATAGAGTTGGTAACATTTTCAACCCATTTTAATAGATGAGAAAACTAGAACTAGTGAGATGGGTATAAGAAACAAAGCTAGAACATGGTGCATTCACCCTCAACAGCTTCTCATCACTCATTACTCTAGAGTTATCAGGTGAGAACATGATAAAACCAACATCTATACCTTTCCCACATGGGAAAAGCACATCAAAACATTGAATTGCACCAAAAGGAAAGGGAACTTTCCACCAAACAATCTCTGTCACAGAATTCACCGTTGAATTAGGGCAAAGGCACTTTGCGGGGTAATCTGATTATCGTCAGCGTGAGTGCTCAAATTGGCCAACATCCAGGACCCATCACTGAATACTCATCACCTCATCAATTCAGCCTCCTCCACTGACGGGCAAAACAACATCCAAATATTCATTGCACATCTGTGCTGGGCAGATTATACATTAGCAATTCAAATCTGGCCAGTGTATAGGCTGTTCCTACAAATGCGTCTGTTTGGGTGAGATGCCTTGTTGTCTGGGACGGATAATAAGGCAACTCGGTCTAATCTTGAAGAACAATCAGCCCATCTTGCGAAGGTGACTGGCTGTGTGTGTTCTTGCCCTGGCAGCGTTGGAACAATGGCCCCATAATGCACTCGACTCAGCTGGCAGTGAAGCCCCATCCTGATTAGTAGCTGTGGCTGGTGTCAATCACCACGGCTGCGCCATTGTCCTCCGGTCCCCAACACAGTTTATTTACAGGAAAACAAAGGCTTCAGGGGGCTATGGCCGCGTCCCAGAGATTGCAAAATAGATTGAGCTGTCAAATACACAAAGTAGATGAAGATTAATGAGCTGTGTGGACAATAAATATGAAGAGATGACCATGAATATGCTAATGAGCATTATCCATATACACCGTAATTGCTACCAAAATTAAAAGGTGGCATGAAGAAGATGGGTCACAAGGTGACGGGGAGATAATCTTGGATGTTCGAGACGTTCACCCCAGATAAGACCCTCTACAGGTTTCCTTTTCCCGATTAAACGGTCCCCAAACATCTTTTGCAAGCTATCTGAATAGGCTTCTTTTAAACAGGGAGGTAAGGGGTGGGTTGAGGGGGGAAGCTGGAAAAAGTTATGTTAGGGAAAGGTGTAATTAGAATAAGAAAGGTGCTTATCAAAAGGCAAGAAGTGATCAGCTAGCTGTCAAGCTCCCTCCTCATCCCCAGAGAGAGAAGGGATGCTGGATGTCACTTCAAACTTTGGTCACCACCACCCTAGAGCCACAGAGATTGTTCGAACTATGAGAATTCTATTCAGACTACCTTTCAGGGAAGAGTGGGTGATTTTTCATGGTATTCCAATACCCTGAAGGCATTTTAAAAAATAAACATGAGAGAGAATTTGAAGAACATAATGTTTAAAGGCGAATGACATTTTATCCCACGAATGACTTTTGGAAAGTTTACGCTCTGCAGTACAGTGGCAAGGCGGTGCCTGACTGCCTGACTGCCTGACTGCAGCCCATTGCCAATCCTGCCAGCCTTCCAGGCAATGGCGTGGCCTCCTCGGTCCCCAGGCACCCCCTTGTTTCCTATCCATTCTCCTGCTTGTGGACAGCAATTATGTTAGCATAGTAACATCCAGAAATCATGCTATGAGATCCCAGGCATGCGGGCAGGGGAAAGATTTCTTGTTTCTTAGTTTCTTTCCCTTGGAGGGCCAGGGATGCAGGTGACCTAGGATGTAGGACTTCACCTGCAGAGATTTGTGGAGCCTCGCCCTCTGAGGACCAGGACTCGAGTTTGCTCCTTGAGAATAGAGCCCAACGTGCATTC